AGCGAGCGCAAAAGCACTGCAACGCGCAGCGCAGATTTTGCAAATAAATAATTTTTTCGCAAACTCTCGAGGAGCATAAAAAATGTTCTAATCACCTCGTTCTCTCGCTTTGTACACGTACACATGCACCGGTAAACACACCGGATCGTAATATGTGTACGTACGATCGCTCGTTCGCTCGCTCGCTTCCCCTACCGGTGCGTTGGCTCCGCTCTTTGTTCGCTCGGAAGCTACCCTGTTGGAATTTTCGGGGACGTATAAGGGCGGCATACGCATACACATGCAGACTGGAACGAACGAGAGAGCGAGAGAAAGCGTCAACTATATTGTTGTACAGGCCAGTGCAGCCACATATATAGTGCTTCATCGCCCCTCTCTAACCCTCATTTTCAAGGGGACCAGGTGGCTGCTATGCTGCTGTTGTCGCGCTTACGTATCGCGGGACCGTTGGCTTAAAAATTCTCTCTCTCTCTCTCGCTCTTTTTCTCTTGCTTGCGCGCACCCGTACCGACGCACATCCATCTGCCTTTTGCTCGATTCTTTTTCCGTCCCTTGTAAATATACTTAGCAACTGACGCTCTCGATCCTCCTATATATACGTACTAGGCATTCTCCCTTATTCGTTCATTCTCTCTCGCGCGCGAGCATCCATATTATGTACGTCGGGGATCGCTTTAATTAAAAATGAAAACTCGGAGCAGCGTATGTTTTACCAACAAATTATAATTTCGACCCAGATCCTTGGCTTGGCGCACCGCATGCATCCAGTATGCAAACATTGGCAAATTGCGCGTTTACGTAGCAGTATACAGTTCTTTGCGCTCCGTGCGCTCTATCGCGCTTAGAACTTGCAGTGCGCTCTTAGACGCGCGATCCCGACAGAGAAAGACAGAGAGAAGGGGCATTAGGGTTCGTTGCACCTACACCGCGGATCAACAGAGAGAAAGGCCTCGAAGCAAAACGGCCGTAAGGATACACTCGCACACATGGAATAGATAAAGGTCAATCCTAACAAGCTTCTCCACCTCCTCTCTATTCTCCTCCTCCTCCTCCTCCATCACCTTTCTTGAATCCTTTTTGTGTTGCCTTTGAGCCATCATCTCTCACTTTCGTATCTCTCGTATACACATAGTTGCGAATACACGCAACACTTGATTCGTTCTCGAACTTATAACCCAATGTGAAGATAAAAAAAAAAGAAAAGTAAAAAAGCCGAGTGGAGAAGAAGGAGAGAAGAAGCAGCCGCGCCTTTGTGTTGATAGGCCGCGAATATCTGTACGTGTGCTCGTACGGCTGTGTGAGTAAGTTTATATACGCTCGGCGTGTACGTGAGTATGTTACAGCGCTCCCCCTTGCTTTATACTCGTACGCAGGCACACCAACACAGAGGCATAGGGACACGTATAGGGAGCAAAGTGAGCGGCTGCGGCGGCGGCGGCGGGGCCATACTGCAGAAACGGCAACAGCAGCTGGTGGGACCTTCTCTCTTGTACACACATAGGTTGCTATACATAGACACGAGCGAAAGTAAGCTTGTGTGCGTGTGCCTGTAAGCAAGCAGGCAGCAACAAGCAGCAGCAGGCCTGGCAAGCTCAAGCGTCAAGAGCAGCAGCAGTCGTTCGTACGGCGTCGTACACTCCGCCCGCGTTCTCCACTCCGTTCGCGTCGCTTTAATACTTTCGCATCCTTTCTTTCTTTCTTTCTGCCCGTCTGCAGAAGAGAGGCCAGTGTTTACAATCGACAAAAAAAGAGTTGCTCGGTTCGTGCGCGCGCGCGAGGACCTCGACACTCTGCTCCGACTTCTCGGCGAAGATTTTTCACCTTGTGCCCAGCTCGCCGTCGTCAACATGAGCATCCCGCTGTTCTATAATCCGAGAACGAACCATCGGAGACCTTTGACAGTGAGGAGAGCTGCTAGGGTCGCTCGTATTCGATTGGCCGGTGAGTCATGATGTCATAAAATATTAAACGCATTTCTCGCACGTAGTTTTTTTTATCAGTCGCGCCAACGAAACGCGTTGCACTATCGATCGCTTCTCGACGCGCGATCGATCGTTACCGGGTGAGCATCTGCCGAATCGGTGCAAGGGGCTGCACCGGCAGATCGATCGACGCGTGAAAAACAATAGCTCAGCGTTTAACGCGTTGCAGATGTCAAAGTTTTGACGCACGTAAACACACACATGAGCGCGCGTGCGCCTTCGTATATATGAATGAGTGATGTATGCCAGTCGCATTTGTAAAAGTCATTGCAGGATGTGAAGGGATGCGAGTATGGGTGTGTGTGTGCGAGTGCGTATATTGGTACGCGCACCTATATATAAACGTGCAAAGCGATGCAGATGCTTGCACTGAAAAATTCACACGCGATCTCCCTACTTTTTTTTCACGTTCTTTCTCATTCCCAGCGCCGGTTCTCCACCCCTTGGCCTTCTCGTTCTCCCCCCTGATCTGCGGGTACGACCGCAGATGTATATAACTATATACATATATAAAAAAAGTCCATCCATCGGCGCTCGGTACAATCAGCAACAACAGAGAGTAGTGTGCATTATACGAGGCAACGTAATAGTTTTTCCTATTGCATTCCTCGAGTGCAATTGCTGCGGCTCTGGAGCTCTTCTTTTCTTTTAGCCCATATAGGATCTCTCTCGCGGCTTGCGAAGCTGCACTTTTAGCTATATAGCTGCTCGTAGAAGAGAACCAAGAGAAAGAGAGAGAGAGAGAGAGAGATAATGCGCGTTGGTCGAGGAGAATGTACGACTGATTGCGTCATAATATCACCCGCGCGCGAGACAAAGAGACCTATGCTTCTTGCCGCTCTATATATACTCGTTCATGACTCGACTCGGCGACGTTGATTATCATTACGGAGTCGGACACAGATACATACGTGCTGCGGGGTTGCTGCACGTACGCCGTAAACACGCGCACTGCGAGGCTGCACTTATGCGGCCAATGCAATGCAAAACTACTATCTCCCTCTATGCTTTATATATTATAGGCTCCGTTATTTCGACCTCTCTAGTGCTCTTTCTCTCTTTCTCTCTCTCTCGCTTGGCTCTCGCGACTGATAGCGCGCACATAAATACATATACATGCTATGTACGGTGCGCGGCAGCCTATGTATCGCGATTGTTCACCGCAAGAACCGTTTGACCATGTACACGCGCGGCTCTCTTTCTCTCTAACACCCGAGCAGCAAATCCTTCAGGAGTAAAAAGCCTGGCTGCAGCCTCGCTCCGCGCGCAAAGAAAGCTGCAGGAGAAAGAGAGAGAAAGAGAGAGGAAGAGGAGAATCCTCGTCAGAGAGAAAGAGCGTGTATATTATATACCCCGTGGGAACGGGCTTTGTATATATGATGCGCACGACTCGATGCACGCACGCACCGTACGTGCGTGAGTCTTCTATAATATATATTGTGCGCGCACGGGGATCGAACGAAAAAAAAAGAGCTTCGTATCGGAAAATCGCTACAGGCCAGGGGCGTCGATTCCAATTGAGTCTATTTAAATCTTCTCTCCTGTTACGCGAACGAGCGATCGGCAGCATCACTCTCGGGCACGTACTCGAGCTACCATCTCTCTTTGTTGCATCACGCGTACTAGAAAAAAAAACTACGCACGCGGAATATCCCGAAATGGGATTTAGCGCATTCGAACCTCGTGTGTTTATCCGCACGCTTCTTTTTTTTATGGTACCGTATTTAAAGAGAAGAGAGACTTTCGGAAGTGGAATTATCGGTGAGTCATATGGACAATGGGATAGTCGCGTAGATAGCGCCTGCGCGGCGCAAAAACAAAGAGAGGGAAAAGGCAAAAATTACCCGAGCACGGCAGGTATCCGGCGAGTCCTCGTCGTCGCCAAGCCCCGTGATTTTCACTTGCTCCGTTTATTGTACACTCTCGTCTCGATGTTATTTCTCAATGGCTCCGCGTGTGCACAAAGAAAGAAAGTGTATGTATTTCGTGACAAACACTCATTAGTACGTATCGCGAGTATACGCGTGTATCTCCTCTTCTTTTTTTTATCTCCGGGCTTTGCTCTTTCCCGTCAATTCACACATCGTTCGTAATAACGCTGCACACAACCACAAAATTTTTACGATATGTATATACCCACAAGATGTCTATGTAGGTCTGGACGTATAGATACAAATAAATTTTCCTGCGCGAATATAACGTTCCCACGGCCTCTAGATTCAGCGTTGCGGAACGATACGCAGTATAGCGTACACAGTCACCGCCGCCGCCGACGCCGCTACTCTTTACAGATACTCGATACGCTGTAGGAAGAAATAACTTTTCCTACCGACTGACTCGGAGGATTATATAAACTTTATATTTATTATAATGCAGACAATTAATAGACAGATAAAAGTTTAGAAGCCAAACGCTTGCAAAAAAAGGAGTCTGGAGAAAAACTAAGATACACCGAGACGTGACCGATTGGTTCTTGTTACTTTTTTATATCGTCTCAATCAGCGGCTAACGATTAAATGCGTGTAATGTAGGTTCTCGCGCAATAAAACCGGTTTTTCCGAGCGATTAATTGCGCTGCCGATCGTAAAGTCCTGCGGGGCGCTGCAGAACCCACGCACAGAGACGTGCACCATAAATCTGTGTACGTTTGCGTCCGTGCGCATTTGCACCCCTTACAGGCATATGTATCCCCGATTCCATCCCGTGAGCCGAGTAGCGAGAGCACCTATACGCTTCCTGTTGAATACCCTCGAACTTCCGGATTATGTGAGATCGTTCGATGCGATTCGAAGCCTTATTGTATCAAAATCGGTTTTGCTTCTTTCTCGGAAGCTACTCGCAAAAAAGGGCCTCGTTCGTTCGTTCGCGGATAATTACACGCCTGCAGCGGAAGCATCTTTCCTTTGTGCGCCCTGAAAACATCATGTATATACATATCGATTGCAAAATTTACTCGAGCTCGATGTCGCTTTTGAGCCAAGAAAACTAACGTTTTTTTTCTCTTTTTTTGTGTTGCAGCTCCGAGATCGTCGAACGCCGGAACGAATAATTTGCCACCATTGACGTTCCATCAAGTGCACGGCGACAACATCAGGCTCTGCAATGGCAACACAATTGCCAGGAGGCACGAGAGTTTCTGCAAAGGTGTCACATTCAGCGCTAGACCAGTGCGCGTTGGCGAAAAGGTAATAACCGTTTACGTTTTTTACGGCTCTGTTTTTCATCTGCACACAAGCATCGGCCTGTATGCGTACACACGCGCGGAACTTGAGAGAGAGAGAGAAGAACATTAAGCGCGACTCGGCACGAATTATTACGAAAGCACGTAACGGTATGAAATGAGCTGTGTGGGTGCATTTTTATTTATAATTCGAGTCGGGTCGTTTGGCCGATCGTCGTCTACGAGTCACATCGTGCATATCCGATAGGAAAAAAAAAAGAAGAATGTCCGCTCCTTAAACGAGATCCAAAACGTTCTGGAAATAGCGATGACTATTTTGCGCAGGAGTTGGGTCATTATTTTTTCTCTTTTTTTCTTTATCTCTCTCCTACACAAAAGTCATATTAACACGAGGCAGAGGCCGCGTGTCGTAACTCGGCAAGCAGCGACTCTATTCAAAAGATCATCATCCGTCTACACGCATCTGGCATATTATATTCTATACATCATCGACAAAGCGACACGGCTTTCGCTCGGAGAGCTCGTACAGCAAACACTCGAAACACGACACACATACACACACATATAGCGGCGCGCTCTCCTCGAAATAAACTACTCACGAACATTCAAAATTATGACACGAGCCATGGCTCTCTCGAAAATCTTATCTCGTCCCGAGCTCATGTTCACGTTACGCTTATTTTTTGCAGGTATGCGTGAAATTCCTCGAGATCTCGGACAACTGGAGCGGCGTCATTCGGTTCGGTTTCACCAGTAACGACCCGATAAATCTGCGCAACGGTCTACCGCGTTATGCTTGTCCGGACCTCACGAACAAGCCTGGCTACTGGGCCAAGGCCCTGGCCGAGCGCTTCGCCGAGAACGACACGGTACTTTTCTACTACGTCACGTCGGCCGGCGACGTTCACTTCGGCGTCAACGGCGAGGAGAAGGGCGTGTTCTTCAGCGGCGTCGAGACGCGCAGCCCCCTCTGGGCCATCATCGACGTCTACGGCAACAGCACAGCCATCGAATTCGTCGACCCGAATCGTCAGCATTTCAATAACGTCCGCCGCGGCGCGGAGCACAGCAACGAGGACAATGCCCAGCACAGTCGGCATTCCGCCATCGACGACGCCAGCAATGCGAGCCGCGATCTGGATCGCATCATCGTGCCCGCTATGCAGAGCGTCAGCATCCACCATCATCAGCCGTCGCCGCCGCAACATCAGCAGCCGCAGCAGCCGGCTCCGATAGTGCAACAGATAGAGCCCGTCGTGGCCAGCGACGTCGTTGCCGAGCCACCGGCGCTCAGGTTCCAACAGTCCGGCATGTTCTTCGCTCCTCTGCCATTCCATTCGTAAGTATTTTCTCACTGCTATGCGAAATTCATCAAGTATCGACTCCCCGAAACGGCCCGGACTCACGAGATACCATTTTTGTCTTTCAGAACACGAGGTCGCAACATTTGCTTCAGCAAGCAGCAATGCGTGGCAACTCGCAGCGATACGGAATTCTGCCACGGATACGCGTTCACGCACCGTCCACTCGTCCTCGGCGAGCGTCTCGTCGTTCAGATCCTTGCCACCGAGCCCATGTACGTCGGGGCCCTCGCTCTCGGCCTGACCTCTTGCGATCCTGCCAATCTCACTGCCATGGATCTTCCAGACGACAGCGATCTGCTGCTCGACCGACCCGAGTACTGGGTCGTCTCCAAAGACGTCGCCTCCTCGCCCCAACCCGGCGACGAGATCGCCTTCACGGTCACGCACTTCGGCGAGGTGCTCATGAGCAAGAACGGCGGACCCGCCAACGTCGTCATGCACGTCGATCAGAGCCTGCAGCTCTGGGCCTTCGTCGACGTCTACGGCAGCACTCAGCGCGTGCGCATGTTCTCCAGCCGTGCCCCGAGCTCGCCCACTAGGCAGCAGCGTCAAATCGCCCCTTCGCAGGTAGCCGCCCCTGCAGTTCCCGTAACGTCGCAGCAAGTCTCGTCCAATCACAACAACGCCTCGACCGAGTTGTCTCGCTTCTCCGAGATGGTGCAGTTCAAGCCAGCCGTTGGTGGTGGAACCGTGCTTGTCGTTAGCCTGCCGCCTCAGAGTCCAGCGTACCCGCCAGCGCCGGTTGCGACGACCTCGCAACCCATCTACGCGTCTGCTCACAGAAACAGCACCGCTGCAGCCACGACGGTCGCGGCGACCGACTCGGCGGCCACCTACGTCGAGCCGGTCGGCGCTCAGACCCCTGTGGCCTCCTCGCAACAGCACTTGCAGCAGTGGCGAGAAGGTCTACAGCCGACTCTCGGTCAGCTCAGCGAATGCTCCATCTGCTACGAGCGCAGTATCGACTGCGTTCTCTACATGTGCGGCCACATGTGTATGTGCTACACGTGTGCTTTGCAGCAATGGCGCGGAAAGGGTGGCGGCCACTGTCCACTCTGCCGAGCCCAGATCCGCGACGTTATCAGAATCTACAGATCCTGAAGTAATAATCCTGAATCGTCTTGCAAAGAAGCCGTTGATACCGGCTATAAACTTGAAAACAGGGTGTGCGCTCATCTCACCCGCGTGCCAAAGTTGCGCTGAATGTCTCTGTTCGTCAGGTTAACACCTGTTCGGTACAAAGCCTCTACGTTTTTCGCCACTCATGGGTAACGTGGCGAAGCGGCTACTTCAGTCGATCGAGTAACTCGTTTACGCACAATAAAAGTAAATGAGATTTACTGCGAGACATGATTATATATCTGGCTTATAATCGAATTTCTTAGATTTTCAGCTAAATTAAAGCTCTGAGCATTTGCAGACCTTGCTAATATATCTACACAGAGTATCATGCTTGTACTTTTGAATTGATAGAGTGATCAACTAATATTTCGCTATTAAAACAGTTGTTGCATGCCAACGTGTGCGAGTATGTGCATATTGTATTGTTAGACTTATCACGGACTCGCACATGCAATGCAAACGGGACGAAAAAAGTTTTATAATTTACATATTATAGCCAAAGAGATTCAGCATGATAATTCTTTGGGGGTTTCGCTCGTGGTCGTGTTTGATTATAGTTTTGTATAATGTGTTCTCTCGACCGACGACGATGTCGATATTTTTTATTATTGTACGTAAAAAAAGTATGAATGTGTGCGTCTGCGTGTGTCTGTAACAAGTGAAAAAAAATTAGCAAATCATAAAGCCAAACATTTTTAAGAAGCGTTTCGCGCTTTCATTCCTATCGAGCCGGTTTATTTTTTTTTCAACTTAAATATAGCCCAAATAAGGCTCTCTTCTGCGGAAAAGGCCGTGCCTTCGAAGAAAAAAAGAATGATAAAAGATTTCCAAACGCACAATATAGATGTTGATCATAATGCAACGAATCATCATCGTATAAACTCGCGGTTGCGCGCACTTTTTCCCATAAAAAAAATGAAATAGACAAACATAACTAATTCTACACAAAACTTTATAGAAAAAAAACCAAATATATATTATATAATTGATGTTATAAAAAATTAACGATTAAAGTAAAATAGTTATAAATTACTGGAGCTCTACCACGGTCTCATGCAGATTAAAGACGAATACATATTGATAAATTGAAAAATATGCCATGAATGCATTGGTGAAATCTCTAGTCCAGCGAGCGGCAGATTTCTTAAGTTTCTGCCAGTCCAAAAAGAATCACGAAAATACTACTAAATTTTTTTATATGTGTGTTTATAAGTAACGAGATGAAAATTTTTTTATAAAAACCAAACGAATGTTTGACGAGAACAGAAAAAAAGTAAAATTGTACAGACAACGCAAGATTTACTTGTCTGTGTGTCAAATTTGTATGCCTGTTTATGTAAATACGTATGGGAAGAAAAAAATAATTTTTAAATAAATTATTAGAACTGGAAACGATGTTCCAATTACGATTTTATGTATAGATAGTCATTTAAGTGAATCGTATATCAAGTCATTGACGAATTTTCTAGAAAAAACAAACTTATATTCGTAATAATATAAAAAAAATCGTAAATAACATTATTATTAATTTTAATTTATATTTATTTCTTATCATTGTATATTATTATTTTAGATATTGAACAACGTTAATTTTAACAATTTATACAATTATTCTGTACATCATTTTATTTTGTCCACGGGACAATACATCGATTAATTAAAAGTACCCGTGTATGGTAATTGTATTTTAAAGTTTTGATTATAAAAGTGTTCAATTATGCATGTACGTATGTATACACATATTTAATTGTTTATGTATGTACATATGTACTTGCGCATGTATATATGTTTTGGAAGATGTTTCGAAATTAGTGACATCTTCGTAAAGAAATTACAAAAATAAAAAAAATCATGTAAATTTTATAAATTACTTGCCTTATTTTTTAGTTTCATTAATTCCTTTTTTCCATTTATTCATCGTCGAAAGTTTATTGGTTTCAATGTCAATTTTTATCGTAAAATTCACGATCAAATGGTATGGCTTGCTAGTAAAGAATTAAAAAAAAAAAAAAATGTTTCAATAATTTACATTGATTTGCAAATGAATGTATCTTTGTTAAAAATATTTTTGACGTTTTATAGATCAATTTTGGTACTCAGAATTTTTTCCGAGTAATATCTCCAGCTTAATAGAATGGATTTCTTACAAAGAATATGTCTTTCTGATAACAAAAGGTGTTGGTGGTGACTTACTATTAAAGTAAGCAGCAGTACTTGTTTAAATCGATAGAATCATTTTTAAGTAACTATCATACGACTTAGGGTGTTGTTCAACTATTAATTGATAATGAAAAAGGATTTTATTTTCAAGTTAAAAATTGAATGAAATAAGATTGACTTTATGCTACGTAGGAAAAATATCAGATGGATGTGAAAGTGCCGTCTTTAAAGATTAATCAATTGGCTTTGATCTTAACAGACGATTTCAGACTATAGCTTGATGTGATCTTTACCTAGCTAGCGAGTGGTGGAATAAATATGTGTGTAAGGTGCGACATTATTACACATTTTATTTACTAATTTTAGCTAAGCTAAATGATATGATGAAAACTAATAGCCTTACTTTTCAAGAACTTTTTGGAAAAAAAAAAGAATTATCACTTTCTCACATGTATTCAAAAATGGCTGTATCTTAAATATACAAAATAAAGTTTTATAAAAATAGAATTTCCATTTAATTTCACATAAATATAAACCAATAGCGAAACTGTAATATTTTATTTCTCTTTTATCATCCACTCTTTTTGCGAAACTTTGATATGAGCACTCCAATTCAAAGTTTCTTAACATCAATTTTAAATACTACACTATACACTATACACTCAAATGACTAGTATTATTTTATTTTAATATTATTGGCAAATGATTAATGTAATATTTTAGTTTCATCAAATTTTTTGAATCAAATAATTATTTCAGTGGTGTGTACCGAAAAAATATTCTTGAACAACATGGTAGAAAATTTGATTTAATAATTGTGCTATTATTTTGTCTTACGATATATTTGACTGTAATTAGTTTTCTTGCAAAAATACGGAACTTTTTAATTTGAATTGATTCTCTGTACTAATTGTTCGATTGATTATCATTCAAGAGCATACATACAACATAAGTAAATTACTACATCTTTTTAACCCTACGCAGTATATAATCGTGTGCATTATTTAGCAACTTATGTAGTTCACAAAAGCTACATACTCTAATTAAAGCTTGACTGTATCAAAAAAATCGACAGTGCACTCACTTACTTTTTTCCTGACAGCGTTTAGACATGGAATGCGTAGAATCGAATTATGCTATAGCCCCGAGTCGTTACTTCCTAAAAATAATCGGAATTTGGCCGGTGGATGAAAAGACGAATTATGTCATAAAAATTTTCCGTATTTTTCAAGTAACCAGCTTTTTTGGCTTATTTGTTTTCATGTTCAGCAGCTGCGGAGCCCACGTATTTTTGGAAGAGACGGATCTCGTAAAGAGGATTCGGGCCTGCGGATCGATGAGCTTTTGGCTAATGGCTCTCTTAAAATATTGCTCGATGATTTTCAACTTGAACGCGCTTGGTGATTTTTTGCACATTCTCGAAGACGATTGGAAAAGATATAAAACAGCCAAGGCTGAGGTAATTTGATTCGTACGAACTTTAAAATAGTACAGTAATTTTAATAAAAATTTTTTAGAAAGAACTAAAACTAATGGAAGAGAATGCTAAAACTGGACGATTTATAGGTCTTATGTTCGCCTCTTTCATGTATACCGCTGGTTTATTTTTCAATACCTTCATACCGATCGCCACTATGAGAGCAATAAATCGCAATTATCAAACTGAAACTCTTCGACAAAGCAATGATAATATAACACACGTTTTACCGATTCCAGGTAAATTTTCTATCTAGCGCATTATAATCACTGTAACGAATAAACGAGTTTTTGTTGTTGAAATTAGCAAAAGTTCTTATCTACACGGTACATAGTTCGGTAATGACGTCGAGTTCTCCAAAATACGAATTACTTTTTTTGGCTCAATATTTTTTCGCATTTCTACGTTATACCATCATGGTTGGTATTTGCAGTATTATGGCAGCTTATGTCCTTCATGTTTGTGGCCAGCTCGACATCGTGATCATGCTGTTGAATCAGTACATCGACAATACCAACACTGACAAAACGATTCACCTGGATTGTACTCAACGAAAAAAATTGTCGATAATAGTGACTTGCCATGCACGAGCTTTGAGGTATACATTTTATTACTTTGGAAAAATTGTTTACTCAAATTTCCTGTTTTTGTTAACAGATTGGCGGCAAGAATCGAAAAAACGTTCAATTTCATGAATTTAGTCGATTTTATCGGGTGCACTTTTCAAATCTGTTTCACTGGTTTCCTTCTTGTTATGGTAGGTAATTAAAAGCTGTTTTGAATATATTTAAAATTTTCGGTTTTCCAGACTTTAGGTGGTAAACCATTAATTTGGGTGACATGGGCCTTACTTCTTATTTCATTTGTTTTTAATATTTTTATCATTTGTCACATAGGAGAATATCTAACTCAAAAAGTAAGTAAAATTACTCTCAACTTCTGATTATTTTATTGAAGTATTTATTTTTAGTGCCAAGAAATAGGCGAGATTGCCTACAGTATCAAATGGTATGATTTTAGTAGCAAAAGAGCTATGAATTTGATGAATATCATGATAATTTCTAGCTCTTATCCAACTAGATTGACCGCTGGTAAAATGGTATACCTTACTATGACAACGTTTAGCCAGGTATTATCAAAAGATTACTAAATTTTCATACATTTTTTTTACACATAACTATTAAATTAAAGTATCGTTCCCCCTTGAACTTGGGTAATATATAATGAATCATAAATCTGTGTAAGAATGAAAATATTTTTACTGGCTTGATTTGATTGAATTACACAAGAGAGCTTATCTTTGTCTAAATTGCTTGGGGACACACCTGTGTTTATGCCTATAAATGAAAAAACATGAAAATGAAGGATTACAAACCGCGAAAAAACTACGTTTTTTCTTATTTCTCTCGCGATATCTCGCTAAAATCAAAAAATACCTCCCTGAAAAATGTCCATAAGGATGGAAATTACCTGATCTTTCCATCTAAACTATTTAGAAAAATCTTAAAAATGAAGTTTTTGAGATAATCAGCTTTAAAGTTTTCTCATCGATTTTCCCATATAAAACGTAAAATTTCGGGAAATCTGACCCGACCTTCGGAAAGCTGAAGCGATTTTCCATCGAAAGGTTTGGTTACTTTTTTCTTCTAGGCGCATTTAGGTACTTTTACAACGAGTTACAAATTTAGTGATTTGACTTAATTCTGCCGCGCCGCGTGGCACTAAGAGAGTTGACGAGAAATGCCACATACATAAAATAAAAAAAGTACAAAGGTATGACTGAAATTATTTATACATTTTTTGAAAATATATTTTATTACTTTGAACCTTGAATAATTATATGATATACCGTTGGCTAATGTTGTTTATATCATCAGGACTTGAGAGCGCTGTATTATGAGTTCATCTACATTTATGCCTATGTATACTGCTGTTGCGTCTGCGCAAATCACACGCGGTAGTTGAAATTTTAATTTAGGTTCGTTCGATTAAGACAACAGTAAGAATCAAATTTCTTTCAAAGTAGATGATATACAATCGCCCATTCCAGTAGAGTAAATCAAAGTAGACTCAGTATTGCAGGAGGTCGCGGAGGTGGACTTATCTGGTTAGACACAGTCTTATATTTAACGATAGGTGTTATTTTCCGCTTTTGTGACACTTGTACCTTAAACTAGACATAACATATAGGTAATTTATGTCATAAACTCGATTTCGAAAAAAATGGGGTTATCCTGTTAGCCCTTTCCACCACAGATAAGAATCCTGGATGAATTTTAATAATAAAAGGAACTACAGACATATATTTTGTTGTTAAAGGACCTGTAAAACCATATTTTAACATCAGAAACAAAAAATTTTAATATTAATCCTTAATTTTCATGTTTTTGCATTTATAGGCATAAACACAGGTGTGTCTCCTTAAACGAATTTGTTTAGTCATTTGTCATTAGTCGCTGCTCACTTATGATACATATGATATTTGAATATGGTTCAATTTTTATTTCAAACTTGAAATTCTTAGCTGCACTAAGCGAATAGTTTTTGGCCAATTTTTCTCCTAAAAGATGAATAGTATTCAGCTTTTAACAATCATAATTCTTTTTGAAAGTTGCTTATTATTTAAGCCTTCGAATATCATGAACTAATCAGGGCGACTTGACATGGATAAAAATTGATGAATAACGTTTCTATAAGGGTTTTATTCTTAATAAAATGAAAATATTTCTATTTTCGGATATGCATTAAAATTAAAAAAAAAAATTTGTATCATCTGAAGTGGTTGTAATGTTTTGCTCCATATGAAAAGTTTTATAATAGAATTATTGTATCCTTAATAAATTCGTACAATATTAGAACTTCATCCGCAAGTAGATTTATCAATCGTATCTTGTAAAATGTTAAATTGAGATTGTTATTGATATTGAAATAAAAAGATATATGATAGACCTTGAAGTTCTTATCTGTGAAGCTATTATGATAAATCGTCAGATATTCCGAACTGCAATCGATAAACTTCGTACGATGATTTTCTTATATTTTCAATAATTTATCATACATTATTGGCTCGTATACGCCTGACTGGGTGAGTCATGTCCCACATAAAATATACATTTGTGCATAAAATCGTTATGTCAACGACAGTTCAAGCCACTCTTATACAAGTGATATAGATTAATTGGAATAGATGGCAGCTAGATCACCTTGATTTGTGCGCAGTCTTATACGAGGTGTGCTTGTGTGGAGTGTCAGTTGCGCTAACTACGACAACATCATGCATCTGTTGCTTGTATTAATTTTCGTGCTCATTTGTGCCTATTGGTATCTTACAAGGACCCATAATTACTGGGTTAAGCAGAACGTACCCACAATGCCGGGCTGCGTGCCGGGTTTTGGCCACGTGCTACCTAGCTTGCTCATGCGCGAGACTCTGAAGGACCTCGCGGATAGAGCATACCGGGGCTTCGCCGACTCCAGCGTCGTTGGCTTTTACTTCATGCGCAAACCCATGATAGTGTTACGCGATCCAAACCTTGTCAAGCATGTCCTACAGTCAGACTTTGCGAGCTTCCGCAACGGCTGCAAAATCAACGAGAAGGCCGATCCGCTTATGGCGAAGAACCCGTTCTTCATTTACGACTTGGAAGCATGGAGGAAGAGCCGGGCGCGGGTCGTCAGCCATCTTTCAGGTAAAAAGTTGAGTCACTTGTTCGTGATTGCTCAGAACGTTTGCGCGAAAATGATGGATTTTATCGAGCGACGACTGGGCGAGTCGAGGGACGCCGAGTACGAGGTGGAGCTAAAGAAATTGTTCGTACGATATACCGGCGAGATGGTGGCCAATTCGGCCTTTGGGGTCGAGGGTCAGAGTTTCGCTGACGAGCGCCACCCCCAGTCGTTTCACGTTGTCGCTGAGTCTCTCTTCGTGCCCAACTTTGTCAACGTTGTCAAGCAAACCATCATTACCTTCATTCCTGAGGCAGCGGCCATTCTCAACGCCAGTATGATCCCAAGGAGCGCCGAGGACTTTTTTAGGAATATGCTGTTAGGCATACTGAAGCACCGCAAAAGACAGTCACAGACCAGCAAGCCCAACGATTTTTTGCAATTCGTTCTTGACACGAACACCCAGGATGATGTCGAAAGCATCATAGCCGATGTTATCATCTATCACGCGGACGTTTACGAGACGTCGAGCTCGACTCTGGCCTTCTTTATGTATCAACTGTCGCGTCATCCCGAAGAGCAGGAAAAGATTCGACAGCACGTTCGAGACGCGACACGGACCACTGGAGGAGGACAACTGACCTACGAAGCGCTGAAAGCCATGAACTATTTGGAGCAAGCGGTATACGAATTGCTGCGAATGATACCACCGGTGCCGGCGCTGTTAAAACGTTGTGTCCAAAACACGACTCTCGTGAGTCAGGACGGGCTCGAATGCCGGCTGCGTCCGGGTGACGGCGTTCTGATACCCGTGCTGGGTTTGCAAAACGATCCCAAGCACTGGGACGAGCCCGAAGCTTTCAGACCCGAAAGATTCGGGCCCGAGCAGCTAGCCGAGCGTCACAAGTATCTGTTTTTGGCGTTCGGCGAGGGTCCGCGTATGTGTGTGGGTATGAGGCTAGGACTGATGCTGGTAAAGCTCGCTGCGGCCTCGCTGCTGCTCAACTACTCGATCGAATCGTCGGCAAAGTCAAAAAACCCATTGGAGATGGATCGCACGGCATTTTTTGCTTACGCAAAGGACGGCGTTTGGGCGCGATTCCGCAAGTTGCCGTTATGAACTTCAAAACCAAATGTGTCGCATAAATGTAAATATCAATGGAGATCTTTAATTGTATATCATTTTGATTATTATTCTTATTATAAAATCCAATTCGTATCTGAAAATAATTTTCAAAATGAAGACGCAACGTTTGACAAATATATTAGATCACTGATAGTTCACTAGAGAGCACAATTAAAACGAATACGTAACTTCAGTTTTGACAACTCCTTATATAAGATTTGTAAAGTTAAACATAATTGAGGGTAATTATCGCGTCAAAGTACTGTTTAAACACTATGAGCATTTCCACAGTTTTGATAGTGATATAATGCATTTTGGGCAGATATCTGCAGACAACAGCCTAAACGCACAAACATTACAAGATTGATTCTACATTTAGCTCACTCTCTTGTACATCTAATTCTATTTTGTATGAGTATACATATATATAATTTTTTTAATTTATGTATTTTTTTCAATTCTATAAAATTGTTGTAGTATAAATAATCTGCTGTCTAAATTATAAATTTTTAATAACTATAGAGCCTCGTGTATTCGTATCTCACTGACTCAAATAAACTACGAATTCACTAATTGATCTCTTGAAGATATTTTCTTTAAACATTCAATCCTATTGCCAACCCATCGAACTAATTCAAGTAATTAAACTCGAAATGTAACTAATTTTAAAGCTTCATATTATACAAACTAAATATTTTTCCATAATCTATAAAGGTATCGTTATTTTCCAAATAATCTAAAAGGTTTATCTCCTTATCCTAACTTTAAACTTACAAGGAAAGCTCTCCAAGTCCGGGTCACCAAATGCCCTGAAAATTTTTTTGTGATCTTCTAGTACATGATGATAATCCTCCATATAATTAGTTTGATCAGATGGGCCCGTTAACAATACTTTTACGCATGGTCAAGATTTGAATATTATTTAACTATAATAAATACCATATAATAGCCTATCATGGTATCAGGCTTAAAACAGTAAATTCCAACTGACTGAACAGCATTGTTACTTTGTGTTTTTCAAGTTTTTAAACACTTATTCAAAAAATAAACACTGTAGCTCAATTGGTATACTATGCAAGTCACAAAGAGCGAACCAATTTGAGCTAAAATTAAAATACTTTACTATAAGTATTGATGCAAAAGATTGAAATAAAACTTTTATATTATTAAACTCACTGTTCCTTCTTTTTCATCCATTTTTCACACTTCATTGATAATATTTTAGTTATTGGGGAAAAGAAAAAGAAGCATAACTGATTGTATCATCGCCAAATCACATGATTTATTTATCTTTATCATTGGCGACTTCCAGCATGATTGATGAGGTAATCCGGCACTTAAAATTTAATCAATAAAGAGTGATAAAAATCGAAGAAAAAGAAGGAACAGTGAGTTTAATAATATAAAAGTTTTATTTCAATCTTTTGCATCAATACTTATAGTAAAGTACTTTAATTTTAGCTCAAATTAGTTCGCTCTTTGTGACTTGCATAGTATACCAATTGAGCTACAGTGTTTATTTTTTGAATAAGTGTTTAAAAACTTGAAAAACACAAAGTAACAATGCTGTTCAGTCAGTTGGAATTTACTGTTTTAAGCCTGATACCATGATAGGCTATTATATGGTATTTATTATAGTTAAATAATATTCAAATCTTGACCATGCGTAAAAGTATTGTTAAAGGGCCCATTGGATCAAACTAACTATATGGGGGATCATCATCATGTACTAGGAGATCACAAAAAAATTTTTAGGACATTAGGTGACCCGGACTTGGAGAACTCTCCTTGTTAGATCTAACATTTAACAAGTTCCATCTGTAATTTTTTTTATTTTTAAACAATTATATTACCACTTTTCACAGCTGAATACTATTGCAAATGTGTTTTAGGTCATGAAATCATCAGCGACGTACCTGCAGCTTCTTAAAACGTTCATATAAAATTCAAACCTCGAATAGAATTGAAACAAGAGTCATCAGTAAATTTTTGAACAAAAAAGATGATTTTTGATGATGGTTTGATAAAGAGCTCGATGAATATCAAATTTTTGAAACTAAAGTCAATAAACTTAGATGAAGAATTCCATCAATAAATCACTTGTTCATAACAGCAACTATTATGAAATAAATTTTTATTTACTAAAATTCAAATATAAATAAATTATTGATAGAAATAAATATGCTGATCAAGCAGTAACACTACTGGTCACAATAAGATGTCAGCTATTTTACATCAACCGATTAAGCTACAATACCATTTTTTGAAAAAATTGTTGTTGAACTAATTCCAGGTATGAGCTTTTTATGAAAATTTTTGATTAACCACTTGTTGGCTAACTAGTGGACTTCTAGTGGTAGAGTGTAGGCCTTGGGTGTCTGCCGACTTACTCGCGGCCTAGAGGACGATGTAGTCGGATGGAAGGAGGCGTGTTGAATAAAGGCAGACATAGTGTAATTAGGTAGTGAAACAAAGAGTTTTATTTGTGTAGATCGGAGCGCCAGTACAGCCGCCGATAGCTGTGCTCACTCGAATTGATCTGGGTGCGTTTACGCTATCGTCGTTGCGCGAAGGCGCCGTCGGCTCTTAACAAGTATGTACGTATAGCGTCCCCTAACTGTTTTATAACGGTGCGTATCGCCTCAAGAGCTTAAAAATTTACAATGCTACCATGATTCGTTAAAAACTCGATATATTGTACAAAAGTTCACAGTATTAATATTAACGGTTTCCCTGAGACATTATTCAAAACACTTTTTGAAAAAAAGACTTATGCAAATATACATTCTCGGCTTTTTTTCATATGCATATTGCATTTTTTCATATAACTTTGAATAAATTGATGAAATTTGAATAAATAGATACCATAAATGTAATCAGACCTTCACTCGCATAGCCTTAACGACTACCAAAATATTCATAAATATCGGTCAACCCGTTCGCTTCGCTCAGCATTAATAAGAAATTTCGTTAGTAAGAGTCGGTCAAGAACAACCGATTTCATGTGAAGTGAAAAAGTCTGGTTTCAGATTTTTTCACGACTTACGTTAAGGCCCAATCGCAATCTGGGAAATCCATCTAGGCAAAACTACTCATAAATTTGTTAGAAAATAATAATAATGATATTGTAATTAACACAATGAGTTATCAAATCATTATTAGTAAAATTGATTTGAATTTTCGAACGATGTGAGTTTTTGTCCTACGCAGCATGTCGTATGGAGCTGGTTGTAAATTTGTCGAATAGGAAATTAAGAAGGCGAAAAATAGTTGGCAAAAATATATTTTATTGAAGAAGATAAGAACAATTTTATGTGTTTGCTCGTCGAAGGTAATCTGGAGAAAATCACTTAAAACTAGAAAAAACAAGATTTCTTCCCCATACCACGCGGCTACGAACGGAGCCGCAGAAAACTTCGTCGGCACCTTTAAGGACAAAATTGCGAAAATAACCAAAGGAGGGAAGAAGGTGGCCACAGCGGTCAATCAATTTCTATTCATCTGTTGTACGGTCGTGAGATTAGAAACCGTTTCGACCGGCTCCGACCAAACTTGCGCGCGAAGGTCGAGGAGAAACAAGGGGCACAAATACGGGCCGCATCTCATTCAAGGAAGGTTAACTTGAACCCAGGAGATCATGTCCTGGTAGACAATTTTGGGAAGACAGGCAGGAAGCGCATTGACGCTTAAATATCATAAGTATTGTCGCCCTCAACTTACCGCGTCACAACACCTTCCGACATCACAGCCAGGGTTGTGAAAAAGTCGCAGTGGGAGATGGCGCTTCGAGCGATTTCAGTGCGCTACAGCGATGCCAACAAAATGAACATAAAAATATCTATATTTAAATATCAAACTATCGAATTGATGGAACAAGTAATTTATTTTCAATAAACAATTCAATAAAAATTTTAATAAATTATACAACAATTAAATTGGCACGTGTTCATAGAGCAATACATACGACGTACTCAACACTTTTTTAGAAACTTGATCAAAATGTTGTTGATCTACAACTCTCTCATCATCGAATAGACTCCTAAAATTTCCATTCATATTTTTCATACAGACTGTGTAGTGTCCGCTTGAAATTGTAGTTCTGTAATGACAAATTATATCTTTTAAAAGATATGTACCATTACTAGTTTTAGCATTTCTGAAAATAAAAATACAATTGAAAAATATAAATTTATTATGAATATCACCAATTCAGAGATGTAAAATAAAAATTGATACTTATGGCTGCAGAAAATCTAAGTTAATTTGTTCACACACATTAACATTATTTAACAGCTTAAGAAGTCTTCCTTTTTTTATAGCAAATCTCATTATCTGAACGAGAAGGTATTTTGGGAATTCTTTGAATTTTATTTTAGACTACTGTGCATGTATGTATTTTTACAAAAAATACAAATACCACTCTCTTTATAAAAATACGAATCAGCACATTTTAAGGCTTCTCTATACACACTGTAGTCGGTAACTAATTTGTGTATTTTGTATTCATTTTTTTCATTTTCAATTCAACCATTAGTCTTGAAATTTTGTGGGGGTGATCAGAAAACTAATACAAATGTGCCTATGAAGCTATTGTTTCATATAAATATTGTAACAATTTTTTTTTTCAATTATCTGAAAAAATAGCTTCATAGGCACATTTATATTAGTTTCATGATCACTCCCAAAAAATTTCAAGACAATAGGTCGTATACTAAATGAAAAAAATGGGTACAAAATACGCGAATATAGTTACCGACCGAGTGTGTATAGAGGACCCTTAAATGTAAACATCGATGCCACTTTGAACACTGATAAGTAAATAATTGATTTTTTTTGGAGCAACCGAGACAAGTGTCTGACATTAGAAATGATTTATTTAATAAATTTAGAGCGACTTTTACTCTAAAATTATCACTATTAAATGGTACCATCTGACCAGAAAATCGACTTTGGCTTAAAATATTCATATAGTGCATTACATAAAGTCCACAGTTGTATGAGTCTTCTTGATAAGGCCTATGGATGATTCTAGGCCGAACGATTTTCCATTTCAACTTTGTAAGATTACAATTATTTGCAGGGTTTATTTTACTGTAGTACTCTAAATACTTTATAAACATGTTTGCTCTGACTGAAGTACTACACTTAAGAAGTGGATCGAATTCCATTAATGCTTGCGTGGAGACATCAGTAACAAGTAAACTCCAGTGATCATGTGAACAGTAAGGCATAAATAGCAAACCTTTAAAAGAATAATTAAAGTTATATCCAACAAATTCCTTTTTTTTTATCATGATCAGATCCTAAAATCGATTGGGTTACCGATGTTGGCATAAATGAAATATTTTTCCACTCTCCAGAATATTTTTTTGACAATATGTAACTGTCAATTACGTAGCCATTTAAGAATTGCTTATTTTTCAACGAGCAGAACTGGAAGGATAATAGTATTAGATATTTTTCCTTCTTGTAATTAAATTGTTCATATTCTGGCAAATAAAATTTAGCCACAGTCGCTTGGATACTGTCAGTGATATTTTGCATATAATGTTCTAATTTTTCTCGATCATTTTCATGACAAATATTTTTTAAAACACAAGGATCAATTTGTGGCCATAATTCGAAGATCGATAACATAGCAGTTTTTTTTCTTTCAAAGAAGTCAATCTCTGCGCAATCTTCAGATTCAAAATCAGATAATAATATTACGTCTTCGATTTCTTCATCCATAATGGACTGTTCTTTCAAAAACCTCTCATCGATATAGCTTTTTTCTTGAAGTTCTTGTTCAAATAAACTCGAATCAGAAAGAACAGAATTTTCAAATTCATTATCAGAAAATGATACTACCTTTTCAACTTGATCATTCATTATGGACTTTTCTATCAAAACATTCTCATCAACGAACCTTTTTTCTTGAAGTTCTTGTTCAATTAAAATCGAATCAGAAAGAACAGAATCGTATTCGGAGTCATTATTATCTGCCCCATTTTTTACTGACATATTATCACAGCTGTCATAATCGACTATCATTTTACAATAATTGTGATCATGATCAACATAGTCTGCAAGATTATTATTAGTAATATTAACTTCGTTTTTAAGTAATAATATATTCTCATTAGTTTCCATTAATTCATTGCCTTGTGATAAGAATTCAGAAACAAAAATCATAAAAATTGTGCCAATAAATCGATTTTTAAAGTTTTCAGTCATCTGTAAACTTATTTTGCATGGAAAAATTTAAAACTATTAGTAAAAAATTATTACGATAACAGCACTGAAATTACATACAACTAATTACATTAAAATACATAAAATGATGCTTATAAACTTAAACAATCAATAATTAATATTTAAAGACTAGTAGAATCTGCATTTACTGATATTCATTAAGTTAAGATGAAGTAAAATAATATTTTTCAGTATTGTACGGGTAAAGATATACGAAAGTAACGAAAGATAACTAATGTCTAATGCAATATATAAATATACTGTACGTTATTCTTTACTTAATTAACAATTTTTTCGTAGATCTTTAATTTTAATTTTTACTTACTTTTCAAAGAATTTTTTTAGTACATATTAATACCTGAAAATTGGCCCAGTAGAATTTTTTCTTTTTCCTCTAGATTTCTCGTGTTTTTACTAATATATTTAAGTTTGGGTCTTTGTTGGTGCCAAATATTCTCTAATTTACATTGCTTAATGTAATCATTTGAAAAACGCTAATAAAATTGCATAAATTCATTTTCAACTTTTTTTATCAATGGATTCTTTTTGTATCTTGATTTAATTTTCATTGTTTTCTTGAGCATTTCTTCGGAAGGTTCAAACGTAAACAATGACCCTTGGCTTTTTATATACTCAGCAGCATATAAGTGGAATTGAAGACTTTCAAATCCTAATCTATTTCTAATTTTCGTTTTAGTCAAATTCATTTGACTCCAAACGCGTTCAGCGCTCGCGTTCGAGTTGGCAACACAAACAAAGCACAATAGAGCAAAATTACTTAATTCTGAAAATAAAGGCATATCATTTTCATCTAAACAATTTAATAGTTTTATCCAGAATATATCAACTTTTTTCTAGTATGATCTCTTCTGGTAATAGTG